GCCATAGTCCGGGGCCTGCAGCTTGCTTGCAGATTCAGGCCTGGCACCTCCTCCCCTCCCTCAGCAGGTTCTCAGGCCAGGCTTGGCAGTGACCTGAGCAGAGCGGCCTGGCCAAGGAGGTGTAGCCTGACATTCCAGGTGCCTCCTCACCTATGGGGGGCATTTCCATGGAGACAAGCAGTGAACTATAACCAGATGACTATCAGACTTCCAGAGTCCTCTCTCCCTCCCTAATCTCTCCCAGGCAACCCTAGTCAGCTCTGAGCGGTAAGGGAGCAAACTGGAGTTCAGCACAGATCAAGGAGCCTACACAACAAGGTGGAGCTGTGGGTTACAGCTCGGGAGAGAAGTGCTTACTTAGCACACATGAAAGCCTGGCTTCCATCCCTAGACACGGAGGAGGGTGCGGAGTGGGCAGAGAAGGAGGACTGTAATAAGGACTGTAAGCATGATAACGCTGTACCCAATGACTTCTTCAAAGCAGGACATTGAAGGGTTCAGAAAAATTGGAGTAAGGTGTTCTACCCAGAGAACCCCCTAAGGTAGGGAAAGGTCTCACACGTCCCTTCTTGATACTACAGCCTCTCACTCTGGCATTTTGACAAAGGCTGTGCATGGGGTGGAAGTGGGGGGCTGGAGACTTTAGCTGCTGGTGCTGGAGGGATGGGTGTCTCATTTCCAAGGCCGGCTGCATTGCCCCTCTTCAGTTCAGAGGAGGAGGCCTGTCATCACGCCATCTGACTTTGTCCCTTGTCCCAACTCGTGTTAACTCAGTTCATCCTCACCTCATGCAACCTAAGGATGTGGCTACCATTCCTACCCCCACTTTACAGATGAAGGGCCAAAGCACAGAAGCACATAGGATCCTTACTGGCCTATTTTCGGAATGAAGGGCAACAACCATTGGCTCTCATTCAGAAGGAACAAGATGGGCAACTTCTAGAACTCAGAAGATGGATTCTTGGAACAGGCACAAATACCTTGACCTTCCTTTCTCACCCTCCTTGCCCTCTTATTTCCTAGATATGCCTCCACTTGCCAAAGTCAACTGGGAACCACAGCAAGAGGTGATACGGTTCATGGGTCTTAGTCTCCTGGGCACAGCCAGGAGAGATGGGAACCAGGCTAGCATAGACTCCCACCTGCCTGTGTCTTGTTGCTGGCAAGGGCTAGCTTGCTGTCCTAGAGACCTAGAGGTCTGGATTGGGATCCAAAGAGACTTTCAGGTCCAATTCTTGCTTTCTTTGAAGAGGAGGTGTTCCTTTGAAGCCCCCCACAGCAATGGTGCCTAAGGTAGTCTCTGTTTCTGCTGCTACGCTGAGGCCTGTGGCCAAAGCTCAGAAGCGTGCAGCCCCTCCCTGGGTCCCCCAGTGAATCCTCCCCAGATAATATGCAGACACACCCACTCCTCTGTCCTCTTAGGATTTAGGCATTCTATTGTGAAGACCCCCTTTAGGCCTAAGGGATGGGCAGTCTCTCCTGCCTCCTTCTTTCCCACTTCCATCCCTCCCTGAGACAGCTCAGCTGCCTTCTCAGAAACACAAGCTCCTCCCTCCCTTCCTCAGCCAACACCCTCCTATTTCCTGGGGGGGCGTGGAGCTTTCTCTAGCCTTTAGGACCATGGTTCTCAACTTTCCTAATGCTGCAACCCTTTAATCTAGTTCCTCATGTGGTGGTGACCCCCAACCATAAAATTATGCTGTTACTACTTCATAACTGTAATTTTACTACTGTTACGGATTGTAGTAATGTAAATATCTGATACCCGACCCCCACTTGGGTCACGACCCGCAGGTTGAGAACCATGGCTCTAGGGCCTCCATACTGGGTGGAGTAGGCTCTTTTCTTGTCTTCCCACCCCACCCAACTCTACCTCATCCAAGTTTCTCCAAGCTTAGGGATGCCCCACCCAACTTTTTCAGCAAGAAAAAAAAAAAAAAGGCAAAGCAAGCCAGAGCTCATTACCAGGAATTAGGAAGACATGCCCTGGAGCATAGAAGGCCGTCTGCAACTACCTGCACTTAGAGATGTACACCAACTACACAGAGAAATGGACTCAAGTATATACAAGATGCCTCTCCAGAGCTATGTGAAGAACTAGGCAGTAACACACACACACACACACACACACACACACACACACACAGAGCCAAAGATGAAGAAAGCCAGAGACGCAGAAAGCCCGACATGGTTGAAAGAGAGCCCCACAAGAAGCCCCAGGAAATGTGCATTTGCCTGTGTGCACAGACACAGAGCCAGGTATCCAAACAGCAGCCAAGCTCAATTTCCAGGGAGCGGATTGGAGCAAATCGGCGCTTTAAGGAATATGGTGCCTGTGTGGTGATGCAGGTCTTTAATCCCAGCACTCTGGAGGCAGAGGCAGGTGGATCTCTCTAAGTTTGAGGCCAGCCTGGTCTACAGAGCGAGTTCCAGGGCAACCAGGGCTGTTACACAGAGAAACCTGGTCTCAGAAAAAGAAGAAGAAAGATGGCTTCTTCAAAGGGGTTTGTGACGAGGACTTGAAGCTTAGAGGAAGAGCCTTCTGCAAGCCCTCAGAGACAGCTGCCCTTCCATGGGACAATTCTCCCTAGCTTCCCTGAAAACAAATTCTGTGAAACGGAGGAGAAACTTTCTTATAGGAAGTAGAGCATTTTCCTTCCAGAATTCATTTGCTAATAGCCGTAACTTTGCCTGTTCAGAGTGGAGTATTCATGGGGAGTTCCTTGCCTGGAGGGGTCACAAGGTGACTGCCTCGCTCCTGTTCCCTCTCACTGCTCCCGGCTTTAACCAGCTCTGACAGTCCATCCAACATATCCCCTTGTCCACCTCTGCCTTGCACACTGTGGCTCGGTCTTGCCTCTCATACCCATCCCAAGAGCCTTGTAGGGTTTGGACACAGAGGAGCAAGTCACCACCCCCTTCCTCCTTCCCCTCTCAGGAAATGCACAGCTGTGGAAGGCATCGCAGGAGAAAGAGGTTTGTTGGATTCAATGACCTTTACAAAACAGCTCCCAGCATCCCTCTCTGCCCCGGCTTCCCCACCCGTCCTGGTTCTGTGAGTAAAGTCACGTGGGGTCATTTACTGATTTCTGGTCACTGTTAGGCCCACTTATATTTTTAATTACATTTATTGTTGCGTGTGTGTATGTGTGTGTGACTAGGCCAGGGTGCGAGTGTGGGGCTCGGGGACAACTTTTGGGGGTAGAGTTCTTGCCTCCACCGTTTGGGTTCCAGAGATCAGACTTACCTTGTCAGACTGGACGGCAGGTGCCTTGGCCTGCTGAGCCCTTCTTATGAATCATCTCCTATTATTTACTCCTTTTGGTAACCCCAGTGTCACAGACAAGGAAACTAAGGCCCAGAGAAAGAACACAAACACACCAGAGGGGCTGTGGTCTGGATCCCAGGTTCCACCGTCTTCGGTCACAGCACCTGAATACCTCTGGCCGCCCACTGGCTGACTGGTGGGATTTGAAAGGAAGGGTGGGGGTGGGCAGGGTCATGGATGGAGGGGTCCCAAGGAGGAGGAACCGGTATGGCCGCTGAATGAAGCTGGTATAGTAAGCCGAATGAAACTTAGCAGGCACCTTCTCCTCCCAGGGTTCACCATTCTTCCCCCTCAGGGTCTGGGAAAGGGACACTCCCTCTGGCTCAGGTCTCTCCAGCATTCCAGACATGCCTCTTGGGAGTTGGGGACAAGGAAAGGGTAGAGGTCCGTGGAGGAACTGTCTTCTCGAACCCATTCCCAGGTCACAGTCCTAGCTGTCATGGTCTAAACTTGCCTCCCACCCTTTCTGGGCCTGGGTCTCATCTGTAAAGGGGTTAGGGTGCAAGAGCCTTGGAAAAGCACAACCGTGCTTGCACCCCAAAGCCTCTGGCTCCCACAGGGTTAACTCTGCAGGAAGGTCCCCCTCATCTTCCTGGTGAAATCTAAGTCAGATAGAGCAAGGAAGCCGGAAATGAGGCGCACTTCCTGGCTCAGGTGTGCTGGCTCGTCACACAACCCATGCCTTACTGGGCAGGGATGTGTCCCGGACTAATGAGGCAGAAGGGGACTCCAGTAAACACGGCAGAGGTTCTCGGTGCAGGCAAGTGACACTAGATGGGATGATGAAGCAGGCAAGCCCAGGGCCGCAGAGAAGTAGCCAGGAGCGAAGGTAGAGAGCATTGTAACGGGGTGGGTCAGGACAGGGACAGGTTCTGGAGAACCTGGACACGGGTGGAGGACTTTGGAGCATTCTCAGATACGGTGAGGACCTTGGAAAGAGCCCCATTCTCAGGGTGTTACCCCTGGGGAGCCTGTGTGGACCCACAGTTGCAGGGGGCTGCTAAGAAGTCTGGACGGAGCTTAAGCACCTGAAGAGGACAGTACAGGTCCCCAGTCTGACTGGCCTCTTCAAGCCATGGGGGACTGACTGACCCTCTCAGTTCTCTGGGCAGCTCTGCCCGCCTCAGGGGAGATGGAAGCATTCGGGTATTGAACTCAGGACCTCTGGAAGAACAGCCAGTGCTCTTAACCACTGAGCCATCTCTCCAGCCCCAAGATGGAAGCATTCGGAAGGTGCTCAGGAGGGTGGAAAGTGGGATCACTAAATACAGGCGGAGATGGGACTCTAGACTAGACACCTGGGGGGTTTGTGCTCAAATAACACCAAAGCTCTGATACTAGTTCCAGAAAGATCAGACTCTGATGGGATGGCATATGCTTTTGATGCCAACAAAGGATCTGTGAGTTCAAGGCCAGCTTAGTCGACAGAGTGAGTCCCAGGATAGATAGCCAGGGCTACGTAGACTCTCTCAAAACAAACAAAAAAAGAAGCAGAAAGGCACAGTTCCTGTTTTATGCATACATTTTATTCTTTTTTTTATAAAAGGCAATAGTACATTGTTGATTGGAGCATTAAAGGAAGGAAACAACCCCTTTAAAAAGGAGTCTCCCTACCCCTATTCCTAGGACTGTAACATATATATATAAAATGTACGTGTATATTTATATTTAAAAAAAAAACAGAAAATATGAAACTTGCGGCCTGGACTTCATCCCCACTCCAATGCCTATCTTATGACAGAAATACACTACACAGCCCCTACTCAGGGGTCACAGCTCCAGATGTGAGCTGGGCCTCTCTTATCTCTTTCCCTCTCCCAAAGCCTAGAACCCCACTGTAAAAGAAGAGCAGACGCACACATACTCAGAAGCACACTTCTGGGTCCCCCTCCACGTGGAGTCCCTGAAGCCTGCACACTCTGGTACTTTCCGTCCTCACTCCCTTCCCCTGGGCTCCTTGAGCTGCTAGGGTCTGTTTTGAAAATTTGGTCCCTTGCCCTGAATGCCTAGAGAACAGCCCACACACCGGCACATTCTTCTTTTCGGGGAAACAAAAGGATGTTTGGTCCAACTTGCTATCCTACCTTGACTTAAGAGTGGGGGCCTCATGTTTTATGGGGCAGAAGTTCAGTAGAAACTTTGAAAGGGCCATCCAGCAGGGGCAGCGGATACAGGAGCATCTTAGCTTGTGAGAGGCATCACAAGGGTGCGTTTAGGAAGCGGCCCCCACACAGTCAGTGGATACTCAAGAGAGTGAACAGTGGGATGGCTGCTGCCCACTCAGATCTGTTCCTTGTGCTTCACGTGAGCCAGCTTCACGTTCTCTGCCTCGGTGGAGGGTGGGGGCTGCTCCAGGTGGCAACCAATCATGAGCTGGTACACGAAGACGCCAGCGATGGAACCCAGGAGTGGAGAGACGATGGGTACCCACCACCAGTGCCGGCCGGTCCTGGAGGACAGAGACAGGTGATCAGAGACAGGCGGGCAGGGCAGGGGACAGGTAAGCTAAGCTGAGCGCGGCAGCTGTACTCACGTGAAGACTTCTGAGCCCCAGCCAGCTAGAGCGGTAAAAAGACGAGGGCCGAAGTCTCGGGCAGGGTTGACAGCATAGCCAGAATTGAAGCCCATGGAGGTCCCAATGACCAGGACCACAAGGCCCACAGTGAAGGCCTCCAGGCCGCGGGGCACAGGGTTGTTATAGGGGTCAACAATGGCCAGCACACAGACGATGAGGGAGGCTGTGCCGATGAACTGGAAAGCCGAGAGAACAAGGTGAGAGTTGCCTCCTTCCCCAATGCCCCCACGCCTCCTTCCCTCTGCCTTGTCCTGACTAGGATGCTTGTAAGCCCAGCAATTCAGTGGGAAGCTCCATGCTTTATAAAGGACCCGCCCGCCACCATGTTCTGAGGTCCGGGGGTCCCCCACAAATTGAGAAATCCTGCTACAAGCAAGAAGTGTTGTCCAAAACAAGTCTGTTCCTCTGCATTCACCTCGCATGTCCCCGATCCATACCTGATCAAAGAAGCCATTGACCATGTCCAAGTGTCCAGAGGGGTAGGTGGCAAAGATGCCCGCTGTGCCATTGGGGCCGGAGACGATAAGCTCATTGTTGGCAAAGCCCCAGATTGCATCTGGTTGGTGACAGAGTAGATCCGTTGTGAGTGCGGGCAGAGCCTCCCCTCTCAGCCCCGCCCTCCCCACCCTGCCAGGGGTCATGGGTAAGCATACTACTCCGGAGGCACAGGCGGCGGGGTAGGGTGGAGGACCTGAGACTCGGTTGTTGCCCAACTTGTTTCTTTCCCTTGGAGCCCCCAACCTGGGCCTGAGTGTTCATGAGTCATGAGCCCCGGGCCTGGGCAGGCCTCACTCGGCTGTCAGCAACGGGCCTGGCGCCAACAGGTACTTAAAGAGCGAGAGTGCCGTGGAGAAAGGCAGCATGGGCCATGCTTACCATAGTACAGCCCGAAAACGATGCCCGCGCCCAAGAAGGCCCCCAGCGTCTGCGCCAGGGTGTAGATGGGCAGCTTGATCCAGGGCTCGCGTGCCAGGAAGCACATGGCAAATGTCACAGCGGGGTTCAAGTGGGCTCCTGAGGAGAGGGGGTAGAACCTATTAGCTGCAGCCCACCAGCGTGGGGAGGCCAGGGCTGCCATGCGCACCTCCCTTCTGGGCTGCAGGAAGGTTTCCTTGGCCTGCACGGCCGTTGGACTGTGTCCCAGATTGATAATCTCTGATTGCAAGGTGAGAGTCAAGGGTTCCAGAGTGTCAAGCCTCTCCCAGCCCTGTCTCCAAAGGTCCCCAAGCTGAGGGCACGGTTAGGACCCGCACTTGGGGATAGAGCCCTTCCTCTCTGCTCTCTAGCCAGACACTTGCTGGAAATGCTGATGAGGGCCGAGGCCTGAGACTGAGGTGGAGGCCTTACCCGACACTTGGCCGGCCACCAAGATGGCGAGGGTGACGGCGAATCCAAAAGCCAAGTTGATGGTGAGGAAGCCACCATGGGTGCCCCGGCTGAGCACCACCTGAGCCACGGAGCCACAGCCAAACATCTGTGTCGGAAAACAGAACAAAGGAAGTCCCATTGAGACCAGCGGCTCCTGCTAACACAGAAGACTGGAGGTCTTTCCTGGAATGTAACCCAAATCCTCCCTGCTGTAATCACAGGTCCTTCTCCGGCTTGCGTTCCATCTTGATATCGCAGAGCCCCGTGGGAGGGACTTGGAATGGGTAGAGGACCGGGAACCCAGATGGCCGAACAATATCCCCTGGCTCAGAAGGGCATGGGAGGGGGCTGTCACTCTAGCAGTTTCTGCCTCTGCCCTCCAGACCTGGCACACAGGTAGAAAGTGCCCTGCCCCTGCGCGCACGCTGTTCCAAAGCTAAGGTCACAGTGGAGGTGATGGGGGACCCGGAGATTGGAGGGAGACAAATGTAAGGTTGAATCAACTCTTGAAATATCTGAGTGCCCGGCCCTCACCACATTCCTCACTTAACAACTTCCCTCTCCTGAATCTGTCCCTCTGAGCACCTCCCCAGGCTAACCTTCCCCTCCCTTCTCTCTGCCTGGAGGAGAGTCCTAAAGACTAGGTTTTAAGAGGCTTTTCTCTCCAACGCCAGTGAGATCTGTTCTAACCTTCTACCTGGGAGAGAGGGACTAAAAGGGACCAGAGTCCCTCAAGTTCAGCATGTACAGACACAGTATGTGTTCAAAAGGGGAAATACTCTCCACAAGCTGTAAAATACTGTCATCCTGAGTCTCTAGCGTCCCTCAAAGCTCCTCCAGCCCAGCCCTGGGTCTCCTTTCTCACTTGGTGCTATGCTGAGCTGGGCCTGATCCCAGCACCCAGGAGGCAGAGACAGGCAGATGTCTGTGAGTTAGAGGCCAGCCTGATCTACAGTTCCAAGACAACCAGGGCCATGTAGAGAGACCCTGTCTTTAAAAACAACAACAAAAAGTGTCCTGCTAGCCAGCAGGCCGCGCTCCATTAACTCTAATGGGCCCGCGCCATGTACTGAGTTGTTAAGCACTGATTATTATCACCCAGAAAGATGAGACAGGGGAGCCAGTGGAGGTGATTCAGGGCACAGGTGTGCGGGCAGGGGTGAAGCAAAGGTTGGAGATTGTAGGAGCTCAGGGTGGAGGCACATGGAGGTCTGCAGCACTGTGCCCAGCCAGACCCCGGCCTGAGCTCTTTGCCTGCCTGAGGCCCAGACCTGGCTTCATGCCAAGAGGCCTTGGCGCGGGGAGCTATCAAAGCCAGTTCCACCACCTTGGGGCTAATCTTCCTCTTCCTTCTCCACCTCCTCCCCCCCATCTCCAGGTTCTCAGCTAGCCCCTCACCCCACCCAACTATATACCTCAGGAAAGAGGGCTTTTCTCACCCCCAAAGACAACCTGGATTCTGACTCGGCAAGGTTCTGGGTCTCCAACACAGGTGCCCAGGCAGGCCCTGACCCATCAGGGTGTCCCCTAGGTCTGCCCCACCCCGGCTCTGCTTTTCACCAACACTTGATACCTCACATCTACCTGAGCCTGAAAGCCTTCACCACAAATCCAGCACCCTCTTTTTGTGGTCCACGATAAGCCAAATGATCCTGGGACCCAGCGAGGGTTGACTAGTCTTTTCACAGAGGACTTAATCTGAGACTTGGGAAGGGATAAGGAGGCTCTCTGGGACGTGGAAGACGCTTTCCTTGTCCTTGGTGCCCCCAAACAGGTGGCTGGACTCACAAATAAAGATAGGGAAGAGTGGGGGGGGCGATAGTGTCCCCCGACTCCCTTCCTGGCCCAGGGGAGAGAGGGGATGGGGACAACTGATAGGCCACTAGTCTGTGAGGTCAGAGGCCAGTTTGGGGCCTCTTCTCCCCAGCCTGCCCCACCACCCCCTACCCCACCATTCCCTCTTGTCATTTAACTGATCTATATTACCTAGGACTCGGGGGCACTGGAACTCAAGTAACCCACCCACTGCAATGGGACAACTTAATTCAGAAGAGCCTCAGAGGAAAACAAAGGTAACGAAGAAAATCGGAATAACTGGGACAGGAAATGAGCACCCTAACTGCCTGTCAGACTAAGAAATGCACCCAGAGTTACCCAGAACAGCTCAGGGTGAACCTGCAGAAACCTCAGCATGGGGGATCAGAGGGCCACGAGCAACTGAGAAGCAGAGGAAGGATCAAAAGGCCAGCAATCTTCTGCAGATTCACTGGGAGTAAGTGGGTGGCAGGCGAGATCTGAAGTACTAGGACATGAGGGAAACAAATTTAGAGACACGTGCACACACCCAGTCCTCTGTTAGGACCCTGTTTCCTCCCACCCTATCTTCGGGACATTCCTTTCTTCCGATCTTGCCTCTAGCAGCCCCAGAGACCTGCGCCCTCTGCCCCCACCTGTGGTAATCTGTCCTCACTTCACTGCAACTTTTGGACTTCCCGAGGCTTAATTATTCATTAGGGGCCAGACACCCAAGACCCAAATAACCTAATAAGGGGTCCGTTTGCCTTCACTGTGTCCTGGGGCTGGGGCTCTGGGAAGAGCTGCAAGACGGGGAAGAGAAAAGGCTGACGGCCCCAAACTGTAGGGGTGACCCTTCTGTCAGCCTGGGGTCCGTCCGGGTTTCCAGGGGTAAAGGAGCGAGTTGTTCTTGCTCACGTTCGTTCTCAAGAGTCAGGGCTGTCAGGAACTGAGTTAGAACTGTGAAGATGAGGGAGGGCTTTGGAGGTCGGCTTGACCCTGAGGGTTTAGCCTGGAGAGCAGTGGGAACTGGTCGGATCGGCCTTGGAAAGCTGTCCCTCGGAATAAGGAATTGGGGAGCACGAGGGCTGGAGGGAGAACGGGGTGCTCACTTCCCTGCACTCACCACAAGGATGAGGGTCCCCAGGCACTCCGCCAGCGCCTGGCGAAGCAGCCGGTAGCGGATATGGAGCATCTCCCCGCAACGGTTCACCAGCTCCTTCTGTCGACCCATGGCAAAGCAGGCAGCGACGCGGTCGGGCGTGGGGCCGAGAAGTGGCTAGCGGCGGGCACCGAGAGCGGCGGCCGCAGCCTAGGTGGCGCCCTTTATATGCACGGGAGAGCGGCCCCGCCCGTAGCGCCCTGCCGGGGGCGGATCGGAGTGCAGCCACCCCAGCCACCGCCCAGCCTAGGGGCGCTGGTGGAGACGCGGGGTGACAGGAGCTGGCCAGGAAGGTCCTAAGGAGCTTTAAGGGTGGATTGGCTCTGGAGGACACGTAGGGGAGGGAGTCAGTTTAGGGAAGGACTGAAGTACTGCGAAAAAGGACCTGAAGCAAAAGCGATCTCCCCGGGTCACAGTGAGTCTTGTGGGCATCATCTCACGCTAGGGGTGAAATCTGTCATCACGAAGAGGAACCAGCTTGCTACAAGATGAGCAGGTCCTCAGTCAGGCGGCTGAAAAGGAGGCTAGGGGCCCCAAGTGGGAAGAGAACTCACAGTGCCTATCCTGGCGGGCACACGCGTGCTGAGTTCTAACCAGAATTCACCAGCCCTTCTTGTGCTCTGGGAACATGTCACATACTGCATGGGATGGTCGGTTATGTCCATAGCTGTGTTAACACTGCATATGTCCTGTGTAGCTGATCATACTTTTGATGTGCACGTGCCGGCTGGGGTATGTGGACTTTCTCTTGCAGGGCCTTCCTGCACTGTACCCGTGGCTCTGAGGCTGAGCTGCAGATGTCCTGACATGCCACATCATGCCAGAGGGTGAATTCCAGCTGTTTTTAACTCTCTGCTTTTCCCACCTGGCTGACCTCCCATTGAAGTAAATCCATCCTTTTAAGTAATTAGGCTGGGGGCAGATGGCTCAGCAGGAAGAGTGATGACCTGTGTTCAATCCCTGAAACCCACTTGAAGGCAGAAAGGGAGAATTTATCCCACACATCCGTAGTGGTACGTGTGCCACACATACATCATTTTTTTTTTGGAGACAGGGTCTTACTGTGTAGCCCTGGCTGGCTGGGAACTCACCATGTAGACTGGTCTTTGAACTCACAGAGATCTACCTGCCTCTGCCTCCCAAGTGCTGGGATTAAAGGCGTGTGCCAGCACATCTGGCATAATTAATTCATTTTTTTAAAAGACAGATTAAACTGAGCCAGGTATCATGGCACACACCTGCAATCCTGGCACTCAGGAGACTGAGGTGGGGAAATTGTGGATTTAGAATCAGCCTAGGTTTCATAATGAGACCCTGTCTCAAAAAGGGAGAGTTCACTGTTACTTGGGAGGATGACAGGAAGTTTACAAGTTCAAGGCATGTCTGTCTTAAGGGGTGAGTTCAAGACCAGCCTGAGCAACTTATTGACAGCCTGTCTCAAAAACATTGGGGGGTGGGGGGCTGGAGAGGTGGCTCAGTGGTTAAGAGTGAACTACTCTTACAGATCGACATCCACATCAGGCAGCTCATCACCACCAATTCTATCTATATCTCTGGCCTCTGTGGGCTCCTGCACTCATGTGGGCAAACCTACATACAGACACATAGTTAAAAATAATAAAAATAGCTGGGCAGAGGCAGGAGGATCTTTGAGTTCAAGGCCAGTTTGGTTTATAGCCAGTGCTACACACACACACACACACACACACACACACACACACACACACACACACACCAAAACACAAACAGCAACAACAAAAAACCCTGTCTCAATTAAAAAAATGATGGTGCTCGAATTTAATCCCAGCACTCAGGAAGTGAAAGTATGTGGATCTCTGTGAGTTTCAGGACAGCCTGGTCTGCATACTGAATTCCAGGACAGCCAGAGCTACATAGTGAGACCCTGTCTCAATCTCCCCCTAAAAAAAGAGACTACGTCTCAAAAACCTAAAATTTGGAAAGAGAGAGAGGGAGAGAGAGAGAGAGAGAGAGAGAGAGAGAGAGAGAGAGAGAGAGAATTCATCTGACAAACTATAAGAACGTCTGATCCCTCAGCCAGGGGGAGCATCACAGGCAACATTGTCCCTAGTGCTGCCCGCCTGCCTGCCTGCCTGTCTCCTCCCTGCCTTTTTCTTTCTTCTATTTCATTTTTCTCAAGTGCTCAGGATTAAAACCCAGGGCCTGGAGCATGGCGCGCTAAGCATTTATTCTGCTATTGAATTCCACCCCCCACCCAGTGCTGCATTTATTTTTTTACCTTGGGTTGTTTGTTTGTTTGTTTGTTTGTGAGACAAACTCACACAAACTGTAGCCCAAACTGGCCTTGGACTCACTATGTAGCCCAGGCTGGCCTTCAGCTCTTGGCAAATCTCTCAAGTGTTGGGCTTTTAGGCATGAACCATTATACCCAGTTTGATTTAGTAACTGGGAAACTGGGCTGAGGGTGGCGTTCAATGGTAAAATACTTACCTAGCATGTCCAGGGTCTTGCGTTTGATCCCTGGCATCAAAAAAAAGAAATTGAATGACTGATCAACTGGTCAACTGGAAACAGGGTTAGTGGCCGGAGCCCTGCTCCCCTGACTTCGAGGAAAGTGTGTACTCTCACCCACAGTCTGTATAGAAGCGTTTATCGCCAGGGAAGACCAAAGAAACCACATTTCTCAGGAGGACTTATTCTAGGTGAGCAGAAGGCCCCGGGGACCTGTCCTCTGAGCAATGGCTATCCTTGAAACAAAGATTACCATATGAAAGGCAGAGTGGGACATGCCTATAATCTCAGCACTTGGGAGGCAGAGGCTAGAGGATCAGGAGTTCAAGGTCATTCTTGGCTTCAGATCAAGTTTGAGCACATGATGGGCTCCATGAGACCTTTGCTCAAAAAACAAAAGAGAACAGTGAGATGACTCAGCCGGGAAAAGCACGTTCCTCAAGGCCTGGGGAGCTGCGTTCAATTCCAGTGACCCCTGTGGTGGAAGGAGAGAACTGGCCCCTATCAGCTGCCCCTGGCCTTCACACATGCACTATGGTAGGAAAGGGCAAAAATACCAAAAGAAAGAAAAAAAATCAGACACAGTGGTGTAGCGAACACCTTTAATCCCAGTGTGTGGGAGGTAGAGGCAGGCAAATTTCCGTGAATTTGAGGTCAGCCTATATAGCAAGTTCCAGGCCTGCCAAAGTTACATGGTGAGAACCTACCTCAAAAGGGGGGGAAAAAAGATGTTCAGGAGAAAATCCTAGTGTTGAGGACTAGCAATATATAAGGTAGATTCACAACTGTATACACATACATGTGGAGGGGGGGCAAAACAGCTTGATCACACAGCTGCCATGACAGGCTTAGAGGCCCCGACACAGCTCTGGCCGGCAACACCTGGACTCAGGGAAAGCCGTAAGCTGACCCCACCCAGTGGGGCCTGCATCTAAGGAGAAATACCTGACATTCCAAACACACACACAGCTTGTAGTTACATTCTTACCTATAGGCACTTAACTTTGCTTAAGGGATTTCATTGACACAGGAAAGCGCCATAGGCTCCCAGGTATATGGAACCAATACATGAAGCTTCTCACAGTCCTTGGTCCGAAGAGATGCCCCTTTCCCAGACACCCCTTCCCCCCTGGGCTGGGAGGCCCCATAGTGAATCAGGCAGCCATCATTGAGTGACTGCCTGCTGGGCCTATCGCCAGCCTGTGACTCAAATGGAATACAACACCTGCTGGTGCCAGAGCTCCAACTGTGGTTTATGGGAGTGGGGCACATCTCCTGCCAGGATGCCCTATGCTCTCCACCCTTGCTGTGTGTCTAGGCCTCTCCTTACCTCAGGTGGGATTCCTCAACATGAATAGGAGACAAGAGATCCTGGCACAGTGGCACACGACTTTAATCCCAGCACTTGGGAGGATCTCTGAGTTTGAGGCCAGCCTAGTCTACATGGCATGCTCCAGGACTGCCAGGACTACATAGAGAGACCATGTCGGTTTTTGTTTT